GCCGATGTCGACGGCGACGGCGGCCATGCCGCGATCGCATTCGTCGGGAGAGCAGCGGCGCGAGGGCAGCTTCATCCTGTTCGAGAACTTGGGCGGAGGTGCCCAGGCCATGCTCAAGCGCGACGACGTCCTGCCGCCCACCTCCACCACCTCCTCGCCCACCGTCTCGCGCAAACAACAACAACCATCATCGTCGTCGTCATCACCCGCGCCATCACTGTCGCCGCGATCATCGTCATCGTCGTCGGGTGCCAAGTCGCCGCGCTCGGCCGCCAACGGATCGTCGGCGTCGCTGCCGGTGCGCAAGGGGCGCGCCCACCGCACGTCACTTGCCACGGCCACCTCCGAGTTCCTCGTCGCCCAGCGCCCCGAGGGCGGCGCCGACTGAGATATAGCACGCTTGCAACCGGCAAACTGAAAAAAAGGTAAATTTGATGAGCACGCACATAGCAGCCGCACCCACCTGCACGCTCAGCAGGCTCACCTCCGGGGCCGCGGAGGGCCTGGTGCATGTGGCGGAGCGCGCGCCTCGATCTGGCGCGAGTGCTCGGGGCTATGGTGCTTCTTCCACTTGTGGTCGTGGCGGCCGAAGGGGTGGGGCTCGCACTCGGCTTAAGTGGCGCGGGTGCAGCTGGTGAGGACCGTGGTGGGCTTAGGCTTGGGCTCGCACTCTGAGCGCCGGTGTGGTGGTGGCTGGGGGGGGATGAGGCTGCGAGGAAGCACAGCAACGCCAACGGCGACGCCGGCGGCGGCAGCGGCAAGCAACGTGGCGGCAACTTCTTCTGCGCGGCGACGCCAAAGAGATGCTCGAGTAGAGGTCAACGACGGCAACGTAGGTATCAGACGGAAAAGTGGCTTATGCAGCGTCTCCCACTCTCCACCCAATTCTCCAATTCTTGTGGACCGTCCAAGAAAAGAGAATAGACACCTGTTCACATCCAGACGCGACACGCGCAACTTGCTGCTTTTTTTCTGCTTTTGTTTTTTTTTGCTTTTTTTTCTTCTTGAAACAAGAAATCGACACCTAAGAAGGCGACACCCTGTGTGGCGCGGCCAGGTTCAGGGAGGAACACAGGAATCAAATATATTAATAAATGCTCAACGTGAAGAAACCGAAGCGGCCGGTGTTCAGAGGCGAAGGTGCGACGGCCATGTTCGAGGTGCAGATCATGAGCGACCTCCACCTCGAGTTCCCCAACGCCCTCGCGCACCTGCCCTCCTTCGAACCTCGCGCCCCCTACCTCGTACCCCACCCCGCCACCCCTCCCTTCCCACTTTGCTTTTCTCCCTTTTGCAGATTTTTTATCTTTTTGTTTCTATGTTGGTGGCAGGCACTGCTCGGGGTACGTACGACACACACGACACGACACACACGACACACGGCACACACGACACACACGACACACACGACACACGACACACGACACACGACGACACACGACACACGACACACGACACGACACACATGACACACGACACACGATACACGACACACGACACACGACACACACGACACACACGACACACACGACGCACACGACACACACGACACACACGACACACACGAAGCACACGACACTTTGCGAATGTAAGTTGATCGTCGCTCGGGCAGACCACACGACACACGGCTGGTTCATCATTCAACAAATTTGTGGTGTTGGTGCAGGACATAGGCCATCCGAAGAAGGAGAACTACTTTGCATTCCTGACGGCGCAAGCGGCTCGGTTCGAGCGCGTGTTTGTCGTCACCGGCAACCACGAATACTACACCTCCGACCGGTACCATCCGTGTTGACCTCTCTTTTCCGCTCCACCTTCAGCTCTCGCTCTTCGTCTCACGACCACACACACACACACACACACACACCACCGTCGCAATCATCACACACGCGCACAGAGACACGGTGCATAGGCAGATCAGGGAGTTTTGCAGCACGTTCGACAACCTGCACTTTTTGCATATGAGCTCTGTGCTCCTCGAAGATAACGGTTCGCGACGGGCCGTGTGCGTGTGGCGTGTGCCATGCTACCACACGTTTGCCTTGGTGTCGTGTCGTGTCGTGTCGTGTCGTGTCGTGTCGTGTCGTGTCGTGTCGTGTCGTGTGTCGTGTGACTGACTTGGGGTGAACAACACACAGGGCACAAGGTGCGCGTTCTGGGGACCACCTTGTGGCACCACTGCCCGGAGAAGGACATCGGGCAGGTCGAGCGCACCCTCAACGACTACGCCATGATCGGGGTGCCCAGCACCACCCGTACTCTCTCTTTCCCCCTACTTTTACGCGACAC